GCCGTCTAATCGTTGCTGCGTCAAGATGTCTGTTTCCGTCGACGAGAAGAAGAAGAGTTTCTCTCTTCAGAAATCAGAGGAAGCTTTCAATGCTGCTAAGGTTAGTGATTTTTCGATCGATATTCTTTTTTTTTTGTTGGTTCGAAATCTCGATTCATTTGATTGTATTTCGTTTTGATTCTGGTGGTTTTTTTCTTTGTATACTTTCTTGTTGAAATTGACGAGTGTAGTGATATAAAGAACATGTTTATTAGTGATGAATCCAATTGAATCTTTGTCGGGAATTCTTCATGAAATGGTCGGATTTTGGTGCAAAGGGCTCAGTTTCGTAATCAGATAGTACAATACTTTCGTGTTACAACTTTGGCTTGATTGAAATGTGATTCATTGTTACCTTATAATCCTGACTATTGGAAGAAATGATTTCTCTTTGATGAAGAATTTAATGCCTGGAGGTGTGAATTCCCCTGTCCGGGCCTTCAAATCCGTTGGTGGACAACCCGTCTTGATCGATTCCGTTAAAGGCTCAAGAATGTGGGACATTGATGGAAATGAGTACATTGACTACGTTGGATCTTGGGGACCAGCTATAATTGGCCATGCCGATGACGAGGTACCGTTTCTTGTTCGATATCAGCAATAAACAAAACAGAATTTTCTGAGCTTGTATGGTGTTGCAGGTTCTTGCGGCTTTGGCTGAGACGATGAAGAAAGGAACAAGCTTTGGTGCTCCTTGTCTCTTAGAGAATGTTCTAGCTGAGATGGTTATATCTGCTGTTCCGAGCATTGAAATGGTTCGGTTTGTCAACTCGGGTACTGAAGCGTGTATGGGTGTGCTCCGTCTTGCTCGAGCTTTCACCAACAAAGAAAAATTCATCAAGTTTGAAGGATGTTATCACGGTCATGCTAACGCCTTCCTTGTTAAAGCTGGTAGCGGTGTAGCTACTTTAGGGCTACCGGATTCGCCTGGTGTCCCTAAAGCAGCTACTTCAGATACTTTAACAGCTCCATACAATGATCTCGAAGCTGTTGTGAAGCTTTTTGAGGCACATAAAGGCGAGATTTCTGCGGTTATTCTCGAACCTGTTGTTGGTAACTCTGGATTCATCCCTCCCACACCAGAATTCATCAACGGTTTACGTCAGCTGACTAAAGACAACGGTGTTCTTCTTATCTTCGATGAAGTCATGACGGGATTTCGGTTAGCTTATGGTGGAGCCCAAGAATACTTCGGAATCACGCCCGACTTGACAACTCTTGGGAAGATCATTGGTGGCGGTCTCCCCGTAGGAGCATATGGTGGAAGACGAGAGATTATGGAGATGGTAAGATCTGACCCTACACTTATAGAAAGGCTTTGAAATAGGGTGGGGTGACCAGGTTTTTCATTTTGTTCGGGTTTGGTTTGATTTTGGAAATCATTGTAGTTAATAAGATTTCTGTTTTTTGTTGTTGTTGCAGGTTGCACCCGCTGGACCGATGTACCAAGCTGGGACTCTAAGCGGTAATCCGCTTGCAATGACCGCAGGGATTCACACACTGAAGCGGTTAAATCAGCCAGGAACATACGAGTATTTAGACAAGATCACAAAGGAACTAACCAACGGAATCTTAGAAGCCGGAAAGAAAACCGGGCACCCAATGTGCGGAGGTTATATAAGAGGTATGTTCGGTTTCTTTTTCGCAGAAGGACCGGTCTACAACTTTGCGGACGCAAAGAAGAGCGACACGGAGAAGTTTGGTAGGTTTTTCAGGGGAATGTTGGAAGAAGGTGTTTACTTTGCACCGTCTCAGTTCGAGGCCGGGTTTACGAGCCTAGCTCACACTCCCGAAGATATTCAGTTCACGATCGCTGCGGCGGAGAGGGTCCTCAGTAGGATCTAGAATGTTCTAGAAGCTTCTAAAACCCAACCCTGAGTCTAGTTTCACAATCTTATGTTTGGTGAACGGATGCAATAATTATTGTGTAGTGAGTTGATCTTTTGTTTTGTTTATCATGAGTAGGTTGAGATTTTTGTATGCTGAGATCATCCTTTTCTTTTGTTAATGTAATGCTGAGATCATCCTTTCCTTTTGTTATGTATGGGGTTGCTTTGGAAATTTAAACTGATTCGTGATAATTAAGCTTTGTCGGAACTCAATTTTGTGTAAGCTTCTATCAACGCAGACCAAATGCGGTTAAAATGTTGACATTCAAATCCATTATGCTAAAATAAGTAAACATCACACACACAAGAATGTACTTATTTGATAATTAATTATAACTTTAAGAATAATTATTAAAGCAGATATAGGGTTTATTGAATGAGACGCAATAATCCAAGAACGACACAATTCATGCATGATCCTCTGTTTCTTGATGATGAGATATTTCTCAGTCCAGAGGAAGCTTCTTAAGTTTACGAAATTTGTAGTCTTTGTAGGCATGAGGCTTAAACTTAGGAGCATTATTGTCGCCGGTGATGAGCCCCGGCAAAGGTCCGACGACGTGATCAAGGTTAGGTTCCACAAAAACCGGCCATGAGATTCTCGTCTTCTCTTTATCCATAGTCGCTCTATGCTCCGCACTCTTATACTTCCCATTACTCATCCTCTGCAAAATCCACAATTCCCAAAAACAAATAATTAACCCAAAAAATTTATTTGGAAACTTTTGCTGATAACCCATGCATGGTTCGTATAAAAATATAAATTCTTAGCAAAATAAAATGACCAACTATGATTGAAACCGCAGTGGAAAACTTCCAATGGTCCTCGAGCTCATATATTTCTTACAAGGAACTGATCGCCGATGATGATGATGATTCCAGAAGTGGTACACTTGGCATCGACCCAATGGTTATCTTTGAATGCTTGAAGACCGAGGGCCTCATTAGCAACTAAGAGTGTGAGTCCATTGATATCGGTGTGACCCGGAGCTCCAATGACTAAATCAGGACCTGGACAAGGCGGATAGTAATTGATTTTCATCAGATACTCTGCTGTTTCACAACCGAGACCCTCCTTCAACGCCTCACGTTGTAACCCTAATCCCTCTGATAACCACTCCATTATTTTCTCTGATAGCTTCATTATGTGCTTTGTGTATTCCTCATTCACCTCCCTGTCGGAAACCCCCGAAATCAAACAAGTTTATGTTACG